AACTGAGACTGCTCTTCTCTGTGTCACGGAGACTCTCCGCACTGCTAAAGCTAACTCTCTCTCCTCTGCTCTTGTCCTTCTAGACCTGTCTGCTGCCTTTGATACTGTGAACCATCAGATCCTCCTCTCCACCCTCTCCGAGATGGGCATCTCCGGCGCGGCTCACTCCTGGATTGCGTCCTACCTGACCGGTCGCTCCTACCAAGTGGCGTGGCGGGAAGCTGTCTCCGCACCACGTGCTCTCACCACTGGTGTCCCCCAGGGATCGGTTCTGGGCCCTCTCCTTTTCTCCCTATACACCAAGTCACTTGGCTCTGTCATATCCTCACATGGTCTCTCCTATCATTGCTACGCTGACGATACACAACTAATCTTCTCCTTTCCCCCTTCTGATAACCAGGTGGCGAATCGCATCTCTGCATGTCTGGCAGACATATCAGTATGGATGACGGATCACCACCTCAAGCTGAACCCTGGCAAGACGGAGCTGCTCTTCCTCCCGGGGAAGGACTGCCCGTTCCATGATCTCGCCATCACGGTTGACAACTCCGCTGTGTCCTCCTCCCAGAGTGCGAAGAGCCTAGGCGTGACCCTGGACAACACCCTGTCGTTCTCCGCCAACATCAAGGCGGTGACCCGCTCCTGCAGGTTCATGCTCTACAACATTCGGAGAGTGCGACCCTGCCTTACACAGGAAGCGGCGCAGGTCCTGGTCCAGGCACTTGTCATCTCCCGTCTGGACTACTGCAACTCGCTGTTGGCTGGGCTCCCTGCCTGTGCCATTAAACCCCTACAACTCATCCAGAATGCCGCAGCCCGTCTGGTGTTCAACCTTCCCAAGTTCTCTCACGTCACCCCCCCTCCTCCGCACACTCCACTGGCTTCCAGTTGAAGCTCGCATCCGCTACAAGACCATGGTGCTTGCCTATGGAGCAGTGAGGGGAACAGCACCTCTGTACCTTCAGGCTCTGATCAGTCCCTACACCCAAACGAGGACATTGCGTTCATCCACCTCTGGCCTGCTGGCTCCCCTTCCTCTGCGGAAGCACAGCTCCCGCTCAGCCCAGTCAAAACTGTTCGCTGCTCTGGCACCCCAATGGTGGAACAAGCTCCCTCACGACGCCAGGACAGCGGAGTCACTCACCACCTTCCGGAGACATTTGAAACCCCACCTCTTTAAGGAATACCTGGGATAGGATAAAGTATTCCTTCTAACCCCCCCCCCCCCCCCAAATTGTAAAGTGGTTATCCCACTGGCTATAGGGTGAACGCACCAATTTGTGAGTCGCTCTGGCTAAGAGCGTCTGCTAAATGACGTTAATGTGCCCTTGAGCAAGGCACTTAACCCTAATTGCTCCTGTAAGTCGCTCTGGTTAAGAGCGTCTGCTAAATGTCTAAAATGTAAATGTAAATGTAGTGCACTGTGTAGGGAATAGGGTGGCATTTGGGACGCAGCCATTCTCTCTTTGTTTGTTTCTGCTTCAGCTGAGCTAACCCAAGGCAGTCTGGTGGTCCCAGCTCTGTTTGTGCTGTATGGCCAACGGTCGCAGTCAAAACAACGACAGCACAAACAGATCTTCAGGCTTAACCCAAGGGGCCTGTCTCGCACATCCATAAAGGTCCAAAAAGTATTTTCCGCTGTGTCACGGGACATAGGCCTACCTGTGTATCGTTACGTCTAACAGTTTGACTGTTGTGGTTGTTGATCTCCAGATCCAGTTAAATACCCTCCTCAGCTGCCCCCCCCAGGAACTTCTCAGGAGGGCCATCAGCCAATGGCAGTGAAGAAACCCATGGAGGGGAGTCACAGGGCTCTGGCAGACACATACCTACAGAGACTACAGCACATCGATATGTCTAAGTATGTAGGCTCACATTCAACTACTGTATGTACTGTAAGATACTACTCAAGATCAAATTCGACTGGGGTTTATATATAAATGCCTGGAGCATTTCAATTTTGGAGAATCTCTTATAAAATGGGTCAAAATCATGTATATTAACCCTAGGTGTAAAATAGTAAATAATGGCTATTTCTCAGAAAGTTTTAAACTGTCAAGAGGAGTGAAACAAGGTTGTCCACTATCGGCATATCTATTTATTGTGGCCATCGAGATGTTAGCTATTAAAATCAGATCCAATAATAATATCAGAGGATTAGAAATACAGGGCTTAAAAACAAAGGTGTCATTGTACGCTGATGATTCATGTTTTCTTTTAAATCCACAACTAGAATCCCTCCACAGCCTCATAGAGGATCTAGATACATTTTCTAACCTCTCTGGATTACAACCAAATTATGACAAATGTACTATATTACGTATTGGATCACTAAAAAATAAAACATTTACATTACCATGTAGTTTACCAATAAAATGGTCTGATGGTGATGTGGATATACTCGGGATACATATCCCAAAGGAAATAAATGATCTCACTTCAATAAATGTTAATAGAAAGTTAGCAAAAATAGATAAGATCTTACTACCATGGAAAGGAAAATACCTGTCAATTTGTGGAAAAATCACCCTGATTAACTCTTTAGTATTATCCCAGTTTACCTATTTGCTTATGGTCTTGCCTACGCCTAGCAAACAGTTTTTTAAATTATATGAGAAAAAAATATTCAATTTTATTTGGAACGGCAAGCCAGACAAAATTAAAAGGGCATATTTATATAATAAATATGAATTCGGAGGACAGAAATTATTAAATATTAAAGCATTAGACCTATCACTAAAAGCTTCAGTCATACAAAAGTTATACTTAAACCCGAACTGGTTCTCAAGCAAATTAGTAAGATTGTCTCACCCAATGTTCAAGAAAGGCCTTTTTCCCTTTATTCAGATTACAACAACTCATTTGCAGTTATTTGAAAAGGAAATCATCTCCCAAGTATCACTATTTCTAAAACAAGCCATAGAAAGTTGGTTGCAATTTCAATTTAATCCTCCAGAAACGACAGAACAAATAATGCAACAAATATTGTTAGCCCACCCAACTACCTCATCCCTATATTGTTATTTATTTTGCTCTTTTGCACCCCAGTATCTCTATTTGCACATAATCTCTTGCACATCTAGCATTCCAGTGTTAATACTATTGTAATTATTTTGCACTATAGCCTATTTATTGCCTTACCTCCATAACTTGCTACATTTGCACACACTGTATATATATTTTCTGTTGTATTTTTGACTTTATGTTTTTTACCCCATATGTAACTCTGTGTTGTTGTTTTTATCGCACTGCTTTGCTTTATCTTGGCCAGGTCGCAGTTGTAAATGAGAACTTGTTCTCAACTGGCTTACCTGGTTAAATAAAGGTGAAATAAAAAAAATAAAAAAATTGTGGTTAAATTCAAATATACTAATTGACAAAAAACCTTTATTTTTTGACAGAATGTTTAAAAAAGGTATAATCTTCGTGAATGATATCATCGGTAGGACTGGTGGAGTTATGTCGCACATGCAGCTAACAAAAACATATGGAAATGTCTGCTCTACCCAAAATTACAACCAAATAATTGCAGCATTACCGCAAAAGTGGAAGAGGAAAGTGGAAGGGGGAGAAAGTAAGGAACTTGTCTGTTGGCCTTGCATTAAAGAACATAATTGTTAAAGAAAACTGTGATAAATAAAAAAGTATATCAGTTTCACTTAAGGACCAAAGGATTGACAGCCGTCCCATATAGATTGCAAAATAGTTGGGAAGAGATCTTTGACGTACGGATCCCATGGCATAGTGTTTATGAACGAAACCGGATTCAAAAAATTAGAATCTTTCAATTTAAATTATTATATAAAATTCTTGCTACCAATAGAATGTTATTTATATGGGGGATACAATCTTCCCAGCTCTGCAGATTTTGCTGTGAAGAGACAGAATCATTAGATCATTTGTTTTGGTTCTGTCCATTTGTAGCTTGTTTTTGGACACAGGTCCAGGAATGGCTAAAGGATTGCAATATTTACCTGGAGCTAACCTTGCAGATAGGTTGGGTGATCTGAAAAGTCATAGTCAATCAATCAATAATATAATAATACTTTTAGCAAAAATGTTTATTTTTAATTCACAATCTGTAGAAGCAATGAGAATAGAAAGGTTCAGAACTTTTGTAAAACATCACAGTACTGTTGAAATATATATGGCAAATAGAAATCCTATATGGATGGTGTTAAGAGATAGATGGGAGGTATTGAATAGAGTTGAAGGATGGGACTAATAACAAATAACAACAAATAATAACAAAGATAGCTAACAATGTAAAGCATACTGTGTCCATAATAAGTATATAGGTTGTATGTTGGGAGCTTTTGGGAAAGAGCACAGTTAGAAATATATGGCATATAGAAGCAAACCGGATGGACATCATGAAAATGATCGGAGAGGTTTAGAGTAGAAGAAGTTCAGGAGCAAAAAATAAATAAAAAATTATATATATATAATAGAATTATTGTAAAATTAACTCTGTCCATAAGGTGTAGATAGTAAGTATAGATCGGAAGTAGAGGCCTGGGCATTGTTGTTCACTAATTTACTCCAAGTAGGGAAAGGATAGCGGGGTTGAAAAGTAATAAAGGGGAGTATATATATAAAAAACATGGGGGATTGGAAGTGATGCAGACAATTGATGGAAGATACAATCTATCTGCAATATTAAGCTGATCCATCCCCTCCCCCCAAAAAATATAAATAATAATAATAATAATAATAATAATAATAATACATAAAAATAAAATAAACAGTCAAAAGAATAAATAAAATAAATAAATAAATAAAAAGATACTACTCAAGTGTCTTCAGTATTGTGGGACAAATACTAATTTCCACTTATGTCAAATTTTCACTTCGGCATGCGTTAATGTCAAAAAGGAGAAGATTTTGCCCCCCCCGTGTTATTAAAGACATGCGTTGCATTGTGCTACCCAGCTGGCCACATTTAAGTTACATACCAACTAACAAATCACACTGACTGATGATGCATCACGTCTTCCAGCCTGCCAGAAGAGCACCACAAATCCATCCAGGAATACTTCCACACCTCACTCTGTCTCGATGCTGAGCAAGCCCAGAATGGGAACCCTAACCTCCCCCATCTAAAGAAGCTCACCATGGGAATCTGCAAACAACTAAACAGGTACCAGTACTGGCAGACAGTAGCTGTTTCTGCAACATCTACAGCGCTTGGCAATTCACTGTAAACAGTGTTTAACTGTCCCTTGTGAAATGAATTAACATTTCTGTGCTCTTAGAATGTGTCAGTGAGATCTGTCGGTTTCAGGTCAATTTAATTCATTCAGCCACTTAGGGAAGTAAACTGAATTGAAATGGACCCCAAACCCTGGTAAACAGCATTTAAACAATTTCTGTGCTCCTGTGTTGGTGTCAGCGAGATCTCCCGTACCCTGCCCTCTCTGGAGGCCATTCAGAGGCTTCTGGACCAGAAGCTGTCGCCAGGGATCGGACGCCTGAGGAGTCAGGTAAGTGGACATTATTCATATTTACCTTTTATCATACATAATCTTAACATCAACATTCAGCAAAGAGACGGTATGAGCTGCATTGGAGACGGTACCATTTTAACATCAACATTCAATTAAGAAATGGGTCGGTATGAGCTGCATTGGAGAGGGTCTTTGTCTTTCCATAAAAATGAATCAAAATGCTGCATGGTTGTAGGTACATGGATAATGCATGGTTGCAGGTACATGGATAATGCATGGTTGCAGGTACGTGGATAATGCATGGTTGTAGGTAAATTAATGCTGCATGGTTGTAGGTAAATTGATGCTGCATGGTTGTAGGTAAATTGATGCTGCATGGTTGTAGGTAAATTGATTCTGCATGGTTGTAGGTAAATTGATTCTGCATGGTTGTAGGTAAATTGATGCTGCATGGTTGTAGGTAAATTGATGCTGCATGGTTGTAGGTAAATTGATGCTGCATGGTTGCATGTTGCTATTATGAACACTTTATTAGACACTTCTGTTTAGTTTTATATCATCTCTGGTCTAGTGTACAGTATTTATATCATCTCTGGTCTAGTGTACAGTATTTATATCATCTCTGGTCTAGTGTACAGTATTTATATCATCTCTGGTCTAGTGTACATTATTTATATCTTGACACACAAAGAATGGTGAATGAACGAGACTTTTAACTGTCCAATTTCTGTTCAACCGTGACTGAGAACACATTACGAGCGTGATCATTGACAACACACACAGGGGAGGTTTTCGTTAAAGCTGAATGAGGCTGAAGGTTCTCTGATGTTTTAGTTTCACATTGTAGTTCACTGCAGCCTACCTCTGCTCTATTCTACTGTAGTTCACTGCAGCCTACCTCTGCTCTATTCTACTGTAGTTCACTGCAGCCTACCTCTGCTCTATTCTACTGTAGTTCACTGCAGCCTACCTCTGCTCTATTCTACTGTAGTTCACTGTAGCCTACCTCTGCTCTATTCTACTGTAGTGTAGCCTACCTCTGCTCTATTCTACTGTAGTGTAGCCTACCTCTGCTATATTCTACTGTAGTTCACTGCAGCCTACCTCTGCTCTATTCTACTGTAGTTCACTGCAGCCTACCTCTGCTCTATTCTACTGTAGTTCACTATAGCCTACCTCTGCTCTATTCTACTGTAGTTCACTGCAGCTTACCTCTGCTCTATTCTACTGTAGTTTACTGCAGCCTACCTCTGCTCTATTCTCGGTTTGTTCTGCAGAGATATACACTTTGTCTATCAATATAATGTCATGTTTCCAATAGTTGTCGTCAAATTAATGATGTTGTCTCTGAAGTGTTGAATTCACATCACGTTTCTGTTTTAAATTTTCTAGGTGTCAGCAGATTCCGGTCAGTCTGTGTCCATCAGGCTGGAACAACTGACCAAGCTGCTCTACTCCATAGAGGAGAAGGTCAATGTTTAACACGATTCTAAACCTAGGAGCCTGTCCCAGATGGCACCCTATTTCCTATATATAGTGCACTACTTTTGACCAGGTCCCATAGAGCTCTGGCCAAAGGTAACACACTATATAGGGAATAGGGTGCCATTTGGGAAGCAATATTATTCTAAAATGAAAATGTTATTCAACTTTTGCATAAAGCTCTTTCATTTTCTATTTCTATCAATCACTAACTAACCCTGGTGTAATCACTAACTAATCACTAACTAAACCCTTGTCTAATCACCAACCTCTCATATGTTGCAACATCTTCCCTGTTACATTTTGACATTACCATACCATGGCAAAACATCATCTTGAAGAAGTAGTGTTCATTTGCTGTAGTTCCCTTTTCAGGCCAAAACTGCAGTGTTTGAGTGGGCTGGGAATGACGGAGGCCACAGGAGGTCTCTGATACCACCTATTACATTTGAAGTAAGTGAGCTAAAAAAAGATACAATAGCCAAAAAAGGCATTTTCACAACTTTATGACATATCAAAAGGCAAGATTGAGAAGAAACCTGACTGAAACAAAGTCATTTCTCTCAATTGTCATTGGGGGGTAAACTCAATGAGTGTATTTGAATGGACAAAGCCATCGATCACGTGACACCATTAACGCCTATGTGAACACTCAGTAGTGCATTTGAAGCCAAGGAAATTGATTAAAGATGGCATCTCATGGATACTCCACATAACATGCGCAGCTAGTCCAGGCTAGCTCCAGGCTAGTCCAGGCTAGCTCCAGGCTAGCTCCAGGCTAGCTCCAGGCTAGCTCCAGGCTAGTCCAGGCTAGCTCCAGGCTAGCTCCAGGCTAGTCCAGGCTAGCTCCAGGCTAGCTCCAGGCTAGCTCCAGGCTAGCTCCAGGCTAGCTCCAGGCTAGTCCAGGCTAGCTCCAGGCTAGCTCCAGGCTAGCTCCAGGCTAGTCCAGGCTAGCTCCAGGCTAGCTCCAGGCTAGTCCAGGCTAGCTCCAGGCTAGCTCCAGGCTAGTCCAGGCTAGCTCCAGGCTAGCTCCAGGCTAGTCCAGGCTAGCTCCAGGCTAGCTCCAGGCTAGCTCCAGGCTAGTCCAGGCTAGCTCCAGGCTAGCTCCAGGCTAGTCCAGGCTAGCTCCAGTGCTGCCCCCCTCTCATTGAGTATCTCAAGTTGAAGGCCAACCGTGGTACTGCAGGCTGCGATTAGCAACTCAATTATACTTATAATTTCTTCTGTGTGTGATTTTAAAATAATTGGTTCAAGCGCGTGCATATGGTGTAATAGAAGCAATTATTGGTACCATGACTGTCTTCTGAATCTTTAATTTTTTTTACATGAAGATTGACCACAAAAATGGACATTTTCCCATTCATTGTAATGGGGGATCCTGTTGTTTTGCTAAAATTTTAGTCATTTAGCAGACGCTCTTATCCAGAGCGACTTACAGTTAGTGAGTGCATACATTATTTTTTGTATTTTTCATACTGGCCCCCCGTGGGAATCAAAGCCACAACCCTGGCGTTGCAAACGCCATGCTCTACATCCCTGCCGGCCATTCCTATCCCTACCCTGGATGACGCTAGGCCAATTGTGCGCCGCCCCATGGGTCTCCCGGTCGCGGCCGGTTACGACAGAGCCTGGATTCAAACCAGGATCTCTAGTGGCACAGCTAGCACTGCGATGCAGTGCCTTAGACCACTGCGCCACTCGGGAGGTAACAATGTCTGCAGCACCGTGGTCGGCTTTGAACATCCGTGGCTTCAATGAGAGGGGGCAGTCGTTTTCCCCTGGGTAAACTGCAAATTAAGTTTTATTCCAAAACGCTATATATAAATTTTCTGAAATGTTGGTAAATTAGCTTTTATTGTTTAAAGAACTTATGAAAGAGATTGGTGTGTTTTTTAAGCATCTAATCATGGCATGGGGCTGTTCGATGACAGACATGTATTTGTTTAAAATCTATCACTTGATGGTTTCATTTCAGAGAGACAAGTAATCATTTTTTGCTGCAAAATGCTATATACACTCTCTGAGAAATAAGTAGTACTGCTAGGTTTTACACAGTCATGTGACAAATAACTAGATTTTTTTAAATAAAGAAATGTACAAATTATTCATTTGTTACATCAATATAAAACTTTTTTTTTACAAAGATTAATAAATACAGTAATATGAGATCTGTATGTAAATATTTACATTTTAGTCATTTAGCAGATGCTCTTATCCAGAGCTACTTACAGTTAGTACATTCATCTTAAGATACAGTGGGGAAAAAAAGTATTTAGTCAGCCACCAATTGTGCAAGTTCTCCCACTTAAAAAGATGAGAGAGGCCTGTAATTTTCATCATAGGTACACGTCAACTATGACAGACAAATTAAGAAAAAAAAATCCAGAAAATCACACTGTAGGATTTTTAATGAATTTATTTGCAAATTATGGTGGAAAATAAGTATTTGGTCACCTACAAACAAGCAAGATTTCTGGCTCTCACAGACCTGTAACTTCTTCTTTAAGAGGCTCCTCTGTCCTCCACTCGTTACCTGTATTAATAGCACCTGTTTGAACTTGTTATCAGTATAAAAGACACCTGTCCACAACCTCAAACAGTCACACTCCAAACTCTGATTTCTTCAAACCAAGAGCTGTCAAAGGACACCAGAAACAAAATTGTAGACCTGCACCAGGCTGGGAAGACTGAATCTGCAATAGGTGAGCAGCTTGGTTTGAAGAAATCAACTGTGGGAGCAATTATTAGGAAATGGAAGACATACAAGTCCACTAATAATCTCCCTCGATCTGGGGCTCCACGCAAGATCTCACCCCGTGGGGTCAAAATGATCACAAGAACGGTGAGCAAAAATCCCAGAACCACACAGGGGGACCTAGTGAATGACCTGCAGAGAGCTGGGACCAAAGTAACAAAGCCTACCATCAGTAACACACTACGCCGCCAGGGACTCAAATCCTGCAGTTCCAGACGTGTCCCCCTGCTTAAGCCAGTACATGTCCAGGCCCGTCTGAAGTTTGCTAGAGTGAATTTGGATGATCCAGAAGAGGATTGGGAGAATGTCATATAGTCAGATGAAACCAAAATATAACTTTTTGGTAAAAACTCAACTCGTCGTGTTTGGAGGACAAAGAATGCTGAGTTGCATCCAAAGAACACCATACCTACTGTGAAGCATGGGGGTGTAAACATCATGCTTTGGGGCTGTTTTTCTGCAAAGGGACCAGGACGACTGATCCGTGTAAAGGAAAGAATGAATGGGGCCATGTATCGTGAGATTTTGAGTGAAAACCTCCTTCCATCAGCAAGGGCATTGAAGATGAAACGTGGCTGGGTCTTTCAGCATGACAATGATCCCAAACACACTGCCCGGGCAACGAAGGAGTGGCTTCGTAAGAAGCATTTCAAGGTCCTGGAGTGGCCTAGCCAGTCTCCAGATCTCAACCCCATAGAAAATCTTTGAGGGAGTTGAAAGTCCGTGTTGCCCAGCGACAGCCCCAAAACATCACTGCTCTAGAGGAGATCTGCATGGAGGAATGGGCCAAAATAGTGTGTGAAAACCTTGTGAAGACTTACAGAAAACGTTTGACCTGTGTCATTGCCAACAAAGGGTATATAACAAAGTATTGAGAAACTTTTGTTATTGACCAAATACTTATTTTCCACCATAATTTGCAAATAAATTCATAAAAAATCCTACAATGTGATTTTCTGGATTTTTTTTTCTTATTTTGTCTGTCATAGTTGACGTGTACCTATGATGAAAATTAAAGGCCTCTCTCATCTTTTTAAGTGGGAGAACTTGCACAATTGGTGGCTGACTAAATACTTTTTTTCCCCACTGTAGCTAGACAAGACAACCATATCGCAGGATACGAACAACCAACTCCATTTTAATACACGTATAAAATATATCAATAAAACATGTGAGAACAGTAATATTTTACACACACACACGAAGGTACCCATAGCAATTATTTCTGATTTTAAAAAAACACAAATGTGGAAAATTGGTGGATATAGCATTTTTTGGAACGAATCTCTTCAAATTGTCTTTGCACGGTTCAATTGCACAGGGTTCCTTTTGTGAAATTTGTGAGGTCTTCTTTGCAGGTCAAATCAGAGTTGCTTGGTCTCACAACCAAGATGTTCCTCAAGGTGGATGTTGAAAGTGGGAAGATATACTTCAAGAAATGTAAAGACGGGCCAGAAGACAAATACTTTGTTCACAATAAAAGTAAGTACTCTATTCCTGATAAAATCACAGAAATTTCTATTTCTATTTTACATTCTGTATTGTACCTAAGTCGGCGTCCCAAATGGCACCCCATTCCCTATATAGTGCACTACTTTAGACCAGAGAATGGCACCCTATTCACTATATAGTGCACTACTTTAGACCAGAGAATGGCACCCTATTCCCTATATAGTGCACTACTTTAGACCAGAGAATGGCACCCTATTCCCTATATAGTGCACTACTTTAGACCAGAGAATGGCACCCTATTCCCTATATAGTGCACTACTTTAGACCAGAGAATGGCACCCTATTCCCTATATAGTGCACTACTTTAGACCAGAGAATGGCACCCTATTCCCTATATAGTGCACTACTTTAGACCAGAGAATGGCACCCTATTCCCTATATAGTGCACTCCTTTAGACCAGAGAATGGCACCCTATTCCCTATATAGTGCACTACTTTAGACCAGAGAATGGCACCCTATTCCCTATATAGTGCACTACTTTAGACCAGAGAATGGCACCCTATTCCCTATATAGTGCACTACTTTAGACCAGAGAATGGCAACCCTATTCCACTATATAGTGCACTACTTTAGACCAGAGAATGGCACCCTATTCCTATATAGTGCACTACTTTAGACCAGAGAATGGCAACCCTATTCCCTATATAGTGCACTACTTTAGACCAGAGAATGGCACCCTATTCCCTATATAGTGCACTACTTTAGACCAGAGAATGGCACCCCATTCCCTATTAGTGCAACTACTTTAGACCAGAGAATGGCACCCCTATTCCCTATATAGTGCACTACTTTAGACCAGAGAATGGCACCCTATTCACTATATAGTGCACTACTTTAGACCAGAGAATGGCACCCTATTCCCTATATAGTGCACTACTTTAGACCAGAGAATGGCACCCTATTCCCTATATAGTGCACTACTTTAGACCAGAGAATGGCACCCTATTCCCTATATAGTGCACTACTTTAGACCAGAGAATGGCACCCTATTCCCTATATAGTGCACTACTTTAGACCAGAGAATGGCACCCTATTCACTATATAGTGCACTACTTTAGACCAGAGAATGGCACCCTATTCCCCTATATAGTGCACTACTTTAGACCAGAGAATGGCACCCTATTCCCTATATAGTGCACTACTTTAGACCAGAGAATGGCACCCTATTCCCTATATAGTGCACTACTTTAGACCAGAGAATGGCACCCTATTCCCTATATAGTGCACTACTTTAGACCAGAGAATGGCACCCTATTCCCTATATAGTGCACTACTTTAGACCAGAGAATGGCACCCTATTCCCTATATAGTGCACTACTTTAGACCAGAGAATGGCACCCCATTCCCTATATAGTGCACTACTTTAGACCAGAGAATCGCACCCCATTCCCTATATAGTGCACTACTTTAGACCAGAGAATGGCACCCCATTCCCTATATAGTGCACTACTTTTAAAAAATGTTGGGAGGCAATCTAAGACACCAGTTGATGTAGGCCTAATGTGTACCATGTGTAGTCTTACAGCTGGTGAAATCCCAGAAAGTTGCCAAGCTGGTGATCGTGGTGGAGACGGAGAAGGAGAAGACTCAGAGGAAAGAGTTTGTCTTCGACGACACAAAGGTAAAGACCTCAAAGTTATTAAGGTGTCAAGCTGTGGTTTCATGTTATATCTGTACGGTGTCTTCTGATGTCTGTGTGTCCCGTGTGTGTGTGTGTGTGTGTGTGTGTCACCAGAAAAGAGAGGGATTTTGCCAACTCCTTCAGCAGATGAAGAACAAACACTCAGACAAGCCTGAGCCAGACATGATCACTTTGTTTGTCGGCACCTGGAATATGGGTAACAATCGCTGCCTTCAATGTCTACCTTCGCCTAGAATGCATATAACTTTTTTACATGGTGTTTCAATTTGTTTCTAATAAATACTCTATTTGGGGCGATTCCACACCAGCGTGGCCCGAAAATGTTTTTGGGGAGGGAAGATATTTAATATGCTTTTACATTTGTATCACAAACCATTTTTTTGAGAAAATCATCATGAAAACTGGTCATTTTAAGCTACATGCCTTCTATAAGACCGTATAGAGGGAGAGGAAGCGACTTCACCGTTCACTTTCTATATTCAGGGTTCACTCAAACATCGTTTGAAGCTTTGTTTTACTATTGACAGTTACAGCTGATGTCGGGATTGTACGGTATATCGATTCACTGTACTTCAATATAAATCATCTGAAGTATTCGTTTCAGTCTCTGAACTGTTTAAGAAAACTTTTTGCCGCCAGCTCCTGAAGTCAGGGCACCAACAAACTATCATGGTCCAAACACACCAAGACAGTCGTGAAGAGGGCACGACAACACCTTTTCCCCCTCAGGAGACTGAAAAGATTTGACATGGGTCCCCATATCCTCAAAAAGTTATACAGCTGCACCATCGAGAGCATCCTGACTGGTTGCATCACCGCCTGGTATGGCAACTGCTCGGCCTCCGACCGCAAGGCGCTACAGAGGGTAGTGCGTACGGCCCAGTACATCACTGGGGCCAAGCTTCCTGCCATCCAGGACCTATATACAAGGCGGTGTCAGAGGAAGGCCCAACATTTTTTTAAAGACTCCAGTCACCCTAGTCATTGACTGTTCTCTCTGCTACCGCACGGCAAAAAGTACCGGAGCGCCAAGTCTAGGTCCAAAAGGCTCCTTAACAGCTTCTATCCCCAAGCCATAAGACTCCTGAACAGCTAATCAAATGGCCTCCCGGACTATTTACATTGACACCTGGCTAAACTAGCTGGCTAAACTAGCTGGCTAAACTAGCTGTCTAGCTGAACTAAGCTAGTTTTTGTCCTCATTGTAAACTTCATAAATACTGCATCCTCAACTTCAAAACTCCTTTGCTAGTTATACAATAATGTAACTAAGAAATTCGCTGTAAAGAAACATAGAAAAGTATTGATTGTTTTATTGTTTTGTTGAATAGTCATGACTGGTTCGAGATATCTGTTGTAAGACGACGGTGGCGAAGGACATCATTGCTAGTTAACGCCGATTGTCACGCTCGTCGATGAGAGAGGACCAAGGCGCAGCGTTACGAGCGAACATATTTATTATTTAAACGTACACACGAACAAAACAACGAAAACGTGACGTCTATGGTACAACATGAAACCACACAAACAAAATCCCACAAACACAAGGTGAACACAGACAGTTTAAATATGGCTCCCAATCAGAGATAACGAGCCGACAGCTGACACTCGTTACCTCCGATTGGGAGTCATTGACCAAATAAGGGAAACACAAAACCAATGACCACCCAACCAAAACAAAAACACAACCAAAACGAACACACCCTGGCTCAAAATACAAAGTCCCAGAGCCAGAGCGTGACAGTACCCCCCCCTAAAGGCGCGGACTGCGACCGCGCCTCAAAACCCCAAATAGGGGAGGGCTGGGTGGGTGTTGCTCCTCGGAGGCGGCTCCGGCTCCGGGCTTGACCACCACCCTACTTCAATCCCCGCATAACGGCCCCGATCCAATCTGACCCAGCTGGCTGGATCAGGACTGACGACGCGCACCCCTGGCTTAGCGCGTGAGGCAGGAACGGACCGGACCTGGCTGACGATACGCACCCTAGGCTTGGTGCGTGGAGCCGGAACGGACCTCACCAGGCTGACGCCTCGCACCCCTGGCTTGGTGCGAGTAGCAGGAATGGGCTGGACCGGGCTGACGACTCGCACCCTTGGCTTGGTGCGAGTAGCAGGAACAGACCAGACCAGGCTGACGACTCGCACCCTTGGCTTGGTGCGAGTAGCAGGAACAGACCGGACCAGGCTGACGACTCGCACCCTTGGCTTGGTGCGAGTAGCAGGAACGGGCTGGACCAGGCCGACGACTCGCTTCCCTGGTTTGGTGCGAGTAGCAGGAACGGGCTGGACCAGGCTGACGACTCGCACCCCTGGTTTGGTGCGAGTGGCAGGAACAGGCCGGGTCGGGCTGGCGACGCACACCGCAGGTCTGGTGCGTGGAGCAGGAAGAGGCCGGGCTGGGCTGGCGAAGCGCACCTCAGACTCGGTGCGGAGCGCAGGAACGTGCCGGGCTGGGCTGGCGACGCGCACCACAGACTCGGTGCGGAGCGCAGGAACGGACCGGGCTGGGCTGTCGACGCACACCGTAGGTTTGGTGCGGGGAGCAGGAATAGACCGGACCGTACTGGGGACACACACCACTGGCTCTACACCGGGATCTGGAACGGGCCGGACCGGACTGGCAACACACGCCAGTACCTCTCGCCGTGCCTCTACACCTACCATCCCCTCTTCTACCAGTGGCCCCCGTAACCTGGCGGCCTCCTCTGCAACCCCGCTGGACCGCTCCATCGCGGCCTCCTGCTGCCCCGACGTCGTGAGCCCCCCCCTAAAAAATTTCTGGGGGTCTCTCCAGGCCTCCAACATTCTCTCCCATCTCTCGCTCCTCTGTCTCCAACCCTCTTCACTCAGCTCCTCCATGGGCTTGACCCAATCGAAGCTGCCACGGAGATCTATTAGCGATGGCTCTTGGACACGCTGCTTGGTCTGGTCTTGGTGGGATTTTCTGTCACGCTCGTCGATGAGAGAGGACCAAGGCGCAGCGTTACGAGCGAACATATTTATTATTTAAACGTACACACGAACAAAACAACGAAAACGTGACGTCTATGGTACAACATGAAACCACACGAACAAAATCCCACAAACACAAGGTGAACACAGACAGTTTAAATATGGCTCCCAATCAGAGATAACGAGCCGACAGCTGACACTCGTTACCTCCGATTGGGAGTCATTGACCAAATAAGGGAAACACAAAACCAATGACCACCCAACCAAAACAAAAACACAACCAAAACGAACACACCCTGGCTCAAAATACAAAGTCCCGGAGCCAGAGCGTGACACCGATCCAAGTTCAGTTTTGTGATCCACCCGCGTCATTGGCGTAGGATCCGCTGGACGGTTTCGGACTGGGGACAGGTCTTGGAGCTGTCAGAGCACACTATAAGGAATATAGCGGGCGGCAGGTAGCTTAGTGGTTAAGAGCGTTGTGCCAGTAACCGAAAGGTCGCTGGTTCTAATCCCCGAGCCGACTAAGTGAAAAACCTGTCGATGTGCCCTTGAGCAAGGCACTTAACCCTAATTGCTCCTGTAAGTCGCTCTGGATAAGAGCGTCTGCTAAATGACCAATTAATATAATGACACCAAGATGTTGTCTGTATCATGTACGGTTCACGGATCATATGGTCTTTTTTTGTGTGATACAAATGTAAAAATAATGTCAAACATCCTTCCTCACAATTAAGTTTCTATGTGAGAATTGCCAGAACAATCTCAGATGCCAAAAAATATTTTCGGGCCACACTGGGATGGAATATTTATCGATTGATATTGATCAATATCGACATTGCTGCTTTAGCTCAGTGGATAATTGTTTTGCTGAATGACTCAACAACTAGTAACACATTTCCTAATAAAAAATATAAAAAAAGATATTGATTAATTGACTGATTGATTGATCATTACCTCTCCCCCCAGGGAACGCCAGTCCCCCCCAAAGCATAGCATCCTGGTTCCAGTGTAAGGGTCAGGGCAAGACCAGGGATGACACGGCCGACCACATCCCTCATGACATCTATGTGATCGGGACTCAGGAAGATCCCCTGGGGGAGAAGGAGTGGACGGACACACTGAAGAGTGCGCTGAGAGGAACCACCAACATCAGCTTCAAACAAGTCAGTGATATCTCAATTAGTATTTTCATGATTCCTTGCACCAATTGGAGAAGAAGGCAAGAGATAGGATACGAGGAATCGAGGGAAGAGGATTTGAGATAGAGCCAGTATCTCAGTCTCAACATTCAGAGCCAGTATCTCAGTCTCAACACTCAGAGCCAGTATCTCAGTCTCAACACTCAGAGACAGTATCTCAGTCTCAACACTCAGAGACAGTTTCCCAGACATACAGTATATTAAGCCTGGACCTGGACTAAAGAGCACTTTCAATGGAGATTCTCCATGGAGCAAGCTTTTTAGTGTAGGACAAGGCTTCATCTGAGTCCAGTAAACCGACCCTTAAAGTACAGTTACTTGTATCTCCTTATTCCTACACTGGTTTGAGGTTAGGTTACATTACAAATGGCGGTGGCCCGTTTAAATATAGTCTGTCAGATTGTAATAGAGTCGACCATGAGGAATGGTTAAGGAATCATTATTATGTGTTTTAATTTTGTTCAGATAGCCACCCAGACCCTATGGAACATCAGGATTGTTGTGCTAGCCAAGCCTGAGCACGAAAACAGAATCTCACACATCTTCTCAGACAGCGTCAAGACAGGGATCGCCAACGCTTTGGGTAAGTCCCATCAACTCACTGCAGTCCCGTCAACTCACTGCAGTCCCGTCAACTCACTGCAGTCCCATCAACTCACTGCTCTTTGGGACAGTTTCCCAGACACCGATTATACCTAGTCCTATATTAAAAAGCTTGCTCAATGCAGAATACTCTTTGAAATTGATTTTTAGTCCAGGACTAACCTTAATCTGTGTCCGGGAAACAGGCCCTTTGGGTAACTAGGTAAATGATCAAAGATGCATACATCCATATTATTTTTGTTTTTCCAGGAAATAAGGGAGCAGTGGGCGTTTCCTTCATGTTCAATGGTACTTCCTTTGGCTTCGTTAACAGTCACCTGACCTCAGGCAGTGAGAAGAAGACCAGGTGAGCTGCAGGGACCAGAAATAGTTGACAAATCATTTTCACAATATACAAATCCTAAAGCATACTAAATAGCTGTGTCAAATGGAGACCATTTCCATGTTTTCCCAGAACTCCTGACCCCCTAGGAACCAGATTGCATTGAAAGCTAAATGGCGTTAAATAAATAAAAAGTGTATTGATTACACTGATACAATATCAGTAGGTACAGAGATTTGGGATTAAAAATGACCAAATAAATACAGACCATTTTAATGTAGTATATGTCTGACCAGAACTTCTCTCAATTGCCTTGCATTGAGTCATAAATGAAAAGATTTCCACGGGCACAATATCAGTGCATTTAACATCTCGTCAAAACGTCTCTAAACTCATATGAGGTTTGTTTGTTTATGCTCCAGTATTGTTTAGATTGTCTGTTGTTTGTGGCCTGTCTGCTCTATTTCCTGAGGAGTCTATTGACGCATCGGTGCCTCAGTCTAAGTAACATAGTTAAAAGATCCCCATCAAAATCCGTCAGTTTAAAATAGAGATATATATTTTTAAGAATTAACAGCCTTTAACTGTTTCTGTTAGTTTCTGTTTGATGAATAGAGAAACACAAAGATATGAGCCTGCATATTGCAAAAATAGCTAACCGTGAGAAAAGAAGACATCATATCTCAACTTGAAACAAGACATTTAATTCCTGAACATTTCTTCTCTTGCCAGACGCAACCAGAATTACGTCAGCATCCTACGCTTCCTTAATCTTGGAGATAAGAAACTGAATCCTTTTGACATCACACATCGATTCACTCATCTGTTCTGGCTTGGGGATCTGAATTATCGAATCGAACTGCCAACCACAGTAAGTTATACTTAGTTTAGCAGTTAGTTACCATTGGGTGGGGAGATTGTATTGCAGCTAATTCGGGGGGTAGCCTGACTGGGACTCGACCCCAGGTCCAGCAGCTGTCATATTCTTACGAATATTCTAAAATCAGTATGTAAACAAAAATGATGCGCATTTTCCAAACATAGACGCGTTTCCATAAAATTGACTTGCGGCAGGTAAAAGGCTGTGCGTGATGACGTAGTGCACATAAAAATACCTTTTGCGGTTACATTCCCATGTACAGATTATTATTATTTTATCTGACATGTACTTTAGGTTGGATAGAGACCTGGTTAGTGTAATAATGACAGTGTAATCAACAAATGATCTCTCTACGACAGTCTGCTGAAGGTATTAGTTATATTGAAGTAACCTACAGTGCATTATAAAAGTATTCATCCCCCTTGGCGTCTTTCCTATTTTGTTGCATTACAACCTGTCATTTAAATGGATTTTTATTTGGATTTCATGTAAATGGACATTTCACAAAATAGTCCAAATTGGTGAAGTGAAATGAAACAAATTACTTGTTTCAAACAATTCTAAAAAATAAATAACGCCGCTGTGTTGCGTGCATATGTATTCACCCCCTTTGCTATGAAGCCCCTAAATAAGATCTGGTGCAACCAATTCAGAAGTCACATAATTAGTTAAATAAAGTCCACCTGTGTGCAATCTAAGTGTCACATGATCTGTCACATGATCTCAGTATATATACACCTGTTCTGAAAGGCCCCAGAGTCTGCAACACCACTAAGCAAGGGGCACCACCAAGCAAGCTGCACCATGAAGACCAAGGAGCTCTCCAAACAGGTCAGGGACAAAGTTGTGGAGAAGTACAGATCAGGGTTGGGTTATAAAAAAAAGATCAGAAACTTTGAACATCCCACGGAACACCATTAAATCCATTATAAAAAAATTTTTTTGAAAGAATATGGCACCACAACAAACCTGCCAAGAGAGGGCCGCCCACCAAAACTCACAGACCAGGAAAGGAGGGCATTAATCAGAGAGGCAACAAAGATACCAAATATAACCCTGAAGGAGCTGCAAAGCTCCACAGCGGCGATTGGAGTATCTATCCATAGGACCACTTTAAGCCGTACACTCCACAGAGCTGGGCTTTACGGAAGAGTGGCCAGAAAAAAGCAAGTTGTTACTTTGCCACTGAGGACAGACCGCCTGGTGCATGAAAACAGTGGGTGCATCCCAAATGGCACCCTATTCCCCTATGTAGTGCAATATATATAGGGAATAGGGTGCCATTTGGGAAACACAGCCAGCATGCAGTTCCTGTTCCCTATTTCTCTGTTAGCAGCAGTTAGGTGAAATAGGGACTGTGCTGTGCTGCTGACATCGCTGGGCAGGAAGAGAGAGCAGCTACTTTGCATTGTGTTCCATTGCCGGAAGCAGAGAGCATTGTGTTCCCTTACAGGAAGCAGAGAGCATTGTGTTCCCTTACAGGAAGCAGAGAGCATTGTGTTCCCTTACAGGAAGCAGAGAGCATTGTGTTCCCTTACAGGAAGCAGAGAGCATTGTGTTCCCTTACAGGAAGCAGAGAGCATTGTGTTCCCTTACAGGAAGCAGAGAGCATTGTGTTCCCTTACAGGAAGCAGAGAGCATTGTGTTCCCTTACAGGAAGCAGAGAGCATTGTGTTCCCTTACAGGAAGCAGAGAGCATTGTGTTCCCTTACAGGAAGCAGAGAGCATTGTGTTCCCTTACAGGAAGCAGAGAGCATTGTGTTCCCTTACAGGAAGCAGAGAGCATTGTGTTCCCTTACAGGAAGCAGAGAGCATTGTGTTCCCTTACAGGAAGCAGAGAGCATTGTGTTCCCTTACAGGAAGCAGAGAGCATTGTGTTCCCTTACAGGAAGCAGAGAGCATTGTGTTCCCTTACAGGAAGCAGAGAGCATTGTGTTCCCTTACAGGAAGCAGAGAGCATTGTGTTCCCTTACAGGAAGCAGAGAGCATTGTGTTCCCTTACAGGAAGCAGAGAGCATTGTGTTCCCTTACAGGAAGCAGAGAGCATTGTGTTCCCTTACAGGAAGCAGAGAGCATTGTGTGCCCTTACGGGGCTGTGTCCCTTACAGGAAGCAGAGAGCATTGTGTTCCCTTACAGGAAGCAGAGAGCATTGTGTTCCCTTACAGGAAGCAGAGAGCATTGTGTTCCCTTACAGGAAGCAGAGAGCATTGTGTTCCCTTACAGGAAGCAGAGAGCATTGTGTTCCCTTACAGGAAGCAGAGAGCATTGTGTTCCCTTACAGGAAGCAGAGAGCATTGTGTTCCCTTACAGGAAGCAGAGAGCATTGTGTTCCCTTACAGGAAGCAGAGAGCATTGTGTTCCCTTACAGGAAGCAGAGAGCATTGTGTTCCCTTACAGGAAGCAGAGAGCATTGTGTTCCCTTACAGGAAGCAGAGAGCATTGTGTTCCATTGCAGGAAGCAGAGAGCATTGTGTTCCCTTACAGGAAGCAGAGAGCATTGTGTTCCCTTACAGGAAGCAGAGAGCATTGTGTTCCCTTACAGGAAGCAGAGAGCATTGTGTTCCCTTTACAGGAAGCAGAGAGCATTGTGTTCCCTTACAGGAAGCAGAGGAGCATTGTGTTCCCTTACAGGAAGCAGAGAGCATGTGTTTCCCTTACAGGAAGCCAGAGAGCATTGTGTTCCCTTACAGGAAGCAGAGAGCATTGTGTTCCCTTACAGGAAGCAGAGAGCATTGTGTTCCCTTACAGGAAGCAGAGAGCATTGTGTTCCCTTACAGGAAGCAGAGAGCATTGTGTTCCCTTACAGGAAGCAGAGAGCATTGTGTTCCCTTACAGGAAGCAGAGAGCATTGTGTTCCCCTTACAGGAAGCAGAGAGCATTGGTTCCCTTACAGGAAGCAGAGAGCATTGTGTTCCCTTACAGGAAGCAGAGAGCATTGTGTTCCCTTACAGGAAGCAGAGAGCATTGTGTTCCCTTACAGGAAGCAGAGAGCATTGTGTTCCCTTACAGGAAGCAGAGAGCATTGTGTTCCCTTACAGGAAGCAGAGAGCATTGTGTTCCCTTACAGGAAGCAGAGAGCATTGTGTTCCCTTACAGGAAGCAGAGAGCATTGTGTTCCCTTACAGGAAGCAGAGAGCATTGTGACCAAGATCAAACAGCAGCAGTACCAGGAACTGCTGTGCAGAGACCAGCTCACCATTGAGAGGGCAGAAGAGAAGGTCTTCCTACACTATGGTGAGACATGGCCACTAGCAACAACAGACATTTCCATACAAAATCAATAGTGATAGAGAGATACATCTACAGTATGTTGGTACTGTAGGCTTAACAGGCACTACACTATTTTACACTATCAAGCTTCAACATTTTTTAAAGAGGCAGTGCAGTCAAAAACTTGATTTTCCTAGGTTTTCTATACAGTACCAGTCGAAAAGTTTGGACACACCTACTCATTCAAGGGTTTTCCTTTATTTTAACTATTTTCTACATTGCAGAATAATAGTGAAGACATCAAAACTATGAAATAACACATATGGAATCATGTAGTAACCAAAAAAGTGTTAAACAAATCAAAATATATTTTATATTTGAGATTCTTCAAAGTAGCCACCCTTTGCCTTCATGACAGCTTTTCACACTCTTGGTATTCTCTCAACCAGCTTCACCTGGAATGCTTTTCCAACAATCTTGAAGGAGTTCCCACATATTCTGAACACTTGTTGGCTGCCTTTCCTTCAGTCTGCCGTCCGACTCATCACAAACCATCTCAATTGGGTTGAGGTTGGGGGATTGTGGAGGCCAGGTCATCTGATGCAGCACTCCATCACTCTCCTTCTTGGTAAAATAGCCCTTACACAGCCTGGAGGTGTGTTGGGTCATTGTCCTGTTAAAAAACAAATGATAGTCCCACTAAGCCCAAACCAGATGGGATGGCATATCGCTGCAGAATGCTGTGGTAGCCATGCTAGTTAAGTGTGCCTTGAATTCTAAATAAATCACAGACAATGTCACCAACAAAGCACCCCCACACCATCACACCTCCTCCTCCTTGCTTTACGGTGGGAAATACACATGCGGAGATCATCCGTTCACCTACTCCGCATCTCACAAAGACACGGCGGTTGGACCCAAAAATCTCAAATTTCCAAAGGACAAATTTCCACCTGTCTAATGTCCATTGCTCGTGTTTCTTGGCCCAAGCAGGTCTCTTCTTATTATTGGTGTCCTTTAGTAGTGGTTTCGACCATGAAGGCCTGATTCACACTGTCCCCTCTGAACAGTTGATGTTGAGATGTGTCTGTGACTTGAACTCTGTGAAGCATTTATTTGGGCTGCAATTTCTGAGGCTGGTAACTCGAATTAGCTTATTCTCTGCAGCAGAGGTAACTCTGGGTCTTCCATTCCTGTGGCAGTCCTCATGAGAGCCAGTTTCATCATAGCGCTTGATGGTTTTTGTGACTGCACTTGAAGAAACTTTAAAAGTTCTTGAAATGTTCCGTATTGACTGACCTTCATGTCTTAAAGTAATGATGGACTGTCGTTTCTCTTTGCTTATTTGAGCTGTTCTTGCCATAATATGGACTTGGTCTTTTACCAAATAGGGCTATCTTCTGTATACCCCCCCCCCCCCCCCCCCCACACACACACACCTTGTCACAACACAACTGATTGGCTCAAACGCATTAAGAAGGAAAGAAATCCCACAAATGAACTTTTAACAAGGTACACCTGTTAATTGAAATGCATTCCAGGTGACTACCTCCTGAAGCTGGTTGAGAGAATGCCAAGAGTGTCATCAAGGCAAACGGTGGCTATTTGAAGAATCTCAAATATAAAATATATTTTGATTTGTTTAACACTTTTTTAGTTACTACATGATTCCATATGTGTTATTTCATAGTGTTGATGTCTTCACTATTATTCTGCAATGTAGAAAATAGTAAAAATAAAGAAAAACCCTTGAATGAGTAGGTGTGTCCAAACTTTTGACTGGTAGTGTATATTTCCACAGTATGAGATTGGAAAAATACTGTCAAATTGTGAAAATTATGATAATGCCCTTTTAGTGTTTGAAAAGACAGGAAGTTAATAGACCAATAACAAAGAGCGTTTGCCCTCCTCTCTGCCAATAACAGCTAGTTTTCAGTTTCCCTCCCATTAGGCTCCTCCAATTAGCCTCTCTCTCAGACCACTCCCAGACAGTTTAGCTACACTGCTGCTTGAGAAACTGCATTTTTCTAAGAAGCTATTTTTGTTTAGTTTTGACCATTTTAATTAAAAACAATCACATTAAGGTACTTAATTGTTACCCTGAAATGATTTCATATTGAGATAATAATGGCTGCATTGTACCTTTAATAAAGCCATTGCCTAGTCCAAGTCGTATGCTGTTCTCATTGAAAAGGGCAAAATTAAGCCTTTGAGTTCACCACAATCTATCTATGATGACCTATGACCTTCACCACAATCTATCTTGACCTTTGATACCTTTGCTGTTTCATTTAACAGACGAGGAGGAGATCACATTCGCACCCACGTATCGTTTCGAGAGAGACACACGAGAGAGATACGTCTACACCAAGGCCAAAGCCACAGGGGTAGGTTTACTGTGTATGTTTTCTCAGATGCTTTCCCACTGGGCACACCACGTCATTTTAACATGTGGAAATGTGGGTAATAGGGCCTCCCGAGTGGCGCAGTGGTCTAGAGATCCTGGTTCGAGTGGCACAGTGGTCTATGCCACTAGAGATCCTGGTTCGAGTGGCGCAGTGGTCTATGCCAATAGAGATCCTGGTTCGAGTCCAGGCCCTGTCGCAGCTGGCCGCGACCAGGAGACCCATTGGGCGGCGCGCAATTGGCCCAGCGTCGTCCAGGGTAGGGGAGGGTTTGGCCGGCAGGGATGTTCTTGTCCCATCGCGTACTAGTGACTCCTGTGGCGGACGGGCGCAGTGCACGCTGACTCGGTCGCCAGGTGTACAGTGTTTCCTCCGGCGCATTGGTGCGGCTTGCTTCCGGGTTAAGCGGGCAGTGCGGCTCGGTCGGGTTGTGTTTTGGAGGACGCATGACTCTCGACCTTCACCTGTCCAATGTCCGTACAGGAGTTGCAGCGATGGGACAAGACTGTAACTACCAATTGGATACCACGAAATTGGGGAGAAAAAGGAAATGTGGGTAATATTTGGTTTGGAAGTGGATCAATGAGATTTTAACTTTTATTCACCCACTCAAAAAGACAGCTAGAAGTTTGTTGAATTCCCAATGTGTTATCACTATGCTTTCAATCATCTAAAAGCACAACCAAATTCCAATGGAAAAACAATGTCTGATTTTTGGTTCAGTTGTCATTTAAATGTTTTGTCACTGTGCTTTCAACCATTTAAAAGCAAAGTTCAAATGGGAATACACTGTGCTTCATCTAATAGCAGAACCACATGACCTGGATTGCGGTTGAGATTACATTAAAAGTGCATGGCACAAGTGATCAATGCTGTTGGAGATTGACAGATTATTACAGCAATCTCCACAGACCTGCGACCTTTGCATGCTATCTTGAACATGCTTGATTACATAAGAAGGCATTTATACAGTAACCTCAAAACGTGCCCATGGATGTGTTACTCATTTTAAGGTTGAATAAATACTGTTACATTAGTTTGTAAGATAGCCTTAAATGTAATATTACAAAAGTAATTGTGTTTGGTTGGCAATGCAACCAAATATCAACATTTAAAGGAGATGTACAGTTGAAGTCGGAAGTTTACATACACCTTAGCCAAATTCATTTAAACTCAGTTTTTCACATTTCATGACATTTAATCCTAGTAAAAATTCCCTGTTTTAGGTCAGTTAGGATCACCACTTTATTTTAAGAATGTGAAATGTCAGAATAATAATAGAGAGGGTGATTTATTTAAGCTTTTATTTCTTTCATCACTTTCCCAGAGGGTCAGAAGTTTACATACACTTAATTAGTATTTGGTAGCATTGCCTTTAAATTGTTTAACTTGGATCAAACGTTTCGGGTAGCCTTCCACAAGCTTCCCACAATAAGTTGGGTGAATTTTGGCCCATTCCTCCTGACAGAGCTGGTGTAACTGAGTCAGGTTTGTAGGCCTCCTTGCTCGCACACGCCTTTTCAGTTCTGCCCACAAAATGTCTATAGGATTGAGGTCAGGGCTTTGTGATGGCCACTCCAATACCTTGACTTTGTTGTCCTTAAGCCATTTTTCCACAACTTTGGAAATATGCTTGGGGTCATTGTACATTTAGAAGACCCATTTGCGACCAAGCTTTAACTTCCTGATTGATGTCTTGAGATGCTTCAATATATCCACACAATTTTCCTTCCTCATGATGCCATCTATTTTGTGAAGTGCACCAGTCCCTCCTGCAGCAAAGCACCCCCACAGCATGATGCTGCCACCCCCGTGCTTCATGGTTGGGATGGTGTTCTTCGGCTTGCAAACAACCCCCTTTTTCCTCCAAACATAACAATGGTCATTATGGCCAAACAGTTCTATTTTTGTTTCATCAGACCAGAGGATATTTCTCCAAAAAGTACGATCTTTGACCCCATGTGCAGTTGCAAAACGTAGTCGGGCTATTTTATGGCGGTTTTGGAGCAGTGGCTTCTTCCTTGCTGAGCGGCCTTTCAGGTTATGTCAATATAGGACTTGTTTTACTGTGGATATAGATACATTTGTACCTGTTTCCTCCAGCATCTTCACAAGGTCCTTTGCTGTTGTTCTGGGATTGATTTGCACTTTTCGCACCAAATTACATTAATCTCTAGGAGACAGAATGCATCTCCTTCCTGAGCGGTATGATGGCTGCGTGGTCCCATGGTGTTTATACTTGCGTACTATTGTTTGTACTGATGAACGTGGTACCTTCAGGCGTTTGGAAATTGCTCCCAAGGATGAACCAGACTTGTGGAGGTCTACAATTTTTTTTCTGAGGTCTTGGCTGATTTCTTTTGATTTTCCCATGATGTCAAGCAAAGAGGCACTGAGTTTGAAGGTAGGCCTTGAAATACATCCACAGGTACACCTCCAATTGACTCAAATTATGTCAATTAGCCTATCAGAAGCTTCTAAATCCATGACATCATTTTCTAGAATTTTCCAAGCTGTTTAAAGGCACAGTCAACTTAGTGTATGTAAACTTCTGACCCACTGGAATTGTGATACAGTGAATTATAAGTGAAATAATCTGTCTGTAAACAATTGTTGGA